GAAGAAATCAAAATATATATAATCTTTTCACAACCTAATTTTATTTTTAGAAGTACTGTAGATGACACTCTCTATCTCCATGACATACCTAATAATCAATAGGTTTTTTTTATAAATATTTACTGTATATAAGAAATTTTAAAATAATAAAATAGTTAAAAATATAGATAGGCTAAATAATCTTTGATTATTTTAAGTAACTACCGCTATTTTTCAAGTTAGTACAAAAAACAGATGAGGGGATATGGCTTGATCAAAATAAGAAGGAAATGATAATTAAGAGTACGGGGTGACTAAAGTAGTGACGTGTTTATAATTCATAATTAATTGACCTTCTACCCAGTATTTATGCGATTCTCCGAAATTGCGCCATTTAACTGATTTAACTGAATCAATAAATTACTGATTCAATGCCTTACAGTAAATAAAAAGAAAAATAAGTTCAGCATATAATGATACCTTTAGAATGATTAGGAAAAGAATTGATTGAATAATGATTTTTTTTTAGAAAATAAGTTCAGATTTCCCAAAAATTTTTTTATACTTTAAATAAAGTTAGGGGAATAATGCAAATTTTAATTTTTCAGCTCGAAGTTTTAACACCGAAAATATTTATATCCGTTTTTTTCTATTAGCTTTTTATATACACTTTTTAAGTTCGTGCTTTGGTTTTTTTTTTATAAAATTAATATAGACCTGAAAATTTCTGACAAAAGTAACATTCTTCTTTATTTGTACAGTACAAGATTTAATTATCATTTAAAATAATGAGCAATCGGTCGCAAAAAATATATAAGCTCTTGTATGGGAATTTCATTATACAGGCATAGCACATAATTTAAAAACTACCATTCGAAACATCACATCAAGAGGGCTTTAATGGTCACTAGATGGCGAGAACATGAGAAAACTGTTGAAAAATTAGATTAAAAAAATGTTAGTTATCAGTGTTATTATAATTTTAAAAATTACGTAAAAGTCTGCAATGCATGCTCTCATAACTGATAATATAATTTATTTAGAATAAATTGCATGCGCAATAATTTCATAATAAAATACAAAGTATATATTAAACAGAAGACGTGTAATAACAAATATTTAAGAACTAAAAGATAGAAGATATTATTTAATTGATGTTCTAAGTTTGCTCATAATACTATTATAATCTAATTCAACAAAACCGTATTCCCTCAAACTGTTAGAAGATGCTGGTCTTGCATCATTTCTATGTTTTGCCAAATCTTCATGCAACTGTGCAAAAAACCAGCACATAAGATCGTTAAAATGATAAATACAGTGAGCGTCAAATTTCCAATCACTAAAATCATTAGTTTTTGCAACTTCCCAATTTATTGGGCCCTTACCACGAAACCACACATTCCAAGTACTCCCTAAATTATGACATGATGCAGAAATAAGTTCACCTGAGTTTCGCATAGTTACGCGTGCAAGTCCTTTGGGTTGATGACTAGTATGATGTATTTTTATTGAACTAATATCATTATGATGATCTCGATTTCCCCAGCATAAAGCTCCACACCAAAAACATGGTTCCGTACACCCAATCCTTCCCATAACTGTTTTATCGTCGGACGGGTTTTGAAAGTCATTTCTTGGAATTCCTTTAGTTGTAAGTTTTTTCTCTATATTTTCACGCAACATTTTTAAATCACTTTCTGTTCCATTAAGGTCAAATTTGTAGTCCACATTTTCAACTTGTGACATATAATCGTTTATAAATTTTTTTAAATCCTCAAAATTCTGGCAATTTCGAATTTCCTGTAAGACTCGTTTATATTCTGCATTATAGGTTTCTTCATATTTTTTTTTTGGTTTTCCACTTGTATGACAATTAACCTGACTTTTGAACCAAGTTTCTATGCACAATTTTGGACGCAAAAAGTATTCTATAGCCTCTTTTTTATTACCAGCATAAACTTGACTAGCAAGTTCTTCAAAATATTTGAGTCTGATTGTTTCGGCATTGGTCAACCAAGAAAGGCCAAGCACTTCATCTACTCGTACACGATTTCCCGCAGTCATTGCTTTTTTATAAATAACACTCAATAAGTAATCCCCAGCAATATGGCTTTCAGCAATTAACCTATGTCCATATTGAAGCCGAGTATCAATTATCTTTAAATATTCATCTTTCTTTTGATCAAGCATGCCGAGTGGTGTATTTTCTTTATCCCATTCTTTTTGAAATCTTATCATTTTTGGTTTAAACTTCAACAAAGCATATAAATGGCCATTCCATTTGAAATCGAGCAAATAATCTTGTAAAATAATGGATATTTCTTTTCTGAGATCACGAACAATTCCTTGATAAAAACAATAAGCAGCTCGTTCTTTAAAGATTATATCTATCAAATTATCAAGCTTATTCTGGAGAATCTTGAGCTCATTCGATTCAATATATATATCAAAAATTTTATAAATTTTATATGCTTTGTGTTTAGATAAATCTGGGAGAATATTGCCTTTGTATTTACCAAAAAGATCTGAGTTAGAACAATACTCCTTTTCAACCTCTTTATCTATTTCTTTTGCTATCGATATGACATTTTCTCTCGATGATATATGATTTCGAAGTGAATCCCACACTTGTTCAACTTTTTGTTTACGATCATAATCGGAAAATTTACAATTTGGCACACTTTTTAAGATATTTTCTAAATTCTTGTTGATTATATCAAGAGACTCAGATGAAATACCTTTCCTGATAAAACTAGCTTTAAGCAATTGCTCAAGTCTTGCAGATATATGTTTACGATTGAGGTTAATGTATTTTATAATTGTTTGTATGGTTTCCGTTTCACACTTTACATTCTTTTTATTTTTAAGGTATTCATCTAAATCGATTCTTTCTTTATGGGTTTTCAAACATTCTTCACAGTTTGTACTTTGATTATTACAATCTGGAACCTCCTTTAGCTCTATTTCAATCAAATTTAAACATTTATCTTGGATTTCATCTTTCTTACCACTCATGTCATTGGGGGACCAATTTTGAAGATTAGAACGAATTTCTTGCTTAATTAATTCTTCATGTTTTTGGAATGACCTGTCAATGGTTTCTTTTAAACTTGCAATTCGTTTGCCAAGATCAATAAATTCGTAAATTTCTTTAATATTTTTGAATCGAACAGCAAAATCTTCATGGGAGACTGCATTCCAATAATTCTGAATTAATGAATGCCACTCCGAAAATTCAATTTTGTCTTTAGATTTCTTACAGTCTTCAATTATAGAATTATATAAATTGACAACATCCTCATGATATTGCTCTGATGGTGGAGCATAAGCAGTTGCACCATTTTTAAATGGTCGAAATTGTTTAAGAAGTTGACCTTTTCTGATCCTTTCATCAAGGATTTGAAGACAATCTATATTAGATATTCCCATCTCAATATCTTTTTCTTCAGCTATTTTTAAAGCATCCGCAAGAGCTGCCCGAAATTTTTCTTCTGGTTCAGAAAGCCTTGATACATTTCTTTCAGAAATATGTTGTACCATAAGGATGTCAGGTGACATTCCAGCCTTTTCAAGACGTGCCATTGTGACAATTGCTATCTGTAGAATTTCAGTCAAGTCTCGCATAGATTCCCCAAGTACGTTAAGAATTGTTAAATGGCTCACACCCATTGCATAAGTTGCTAATATTCGATCTTTCTTTTCTAATTCTGGATCATCCATCTTTTCTGGTGCGCCAAGTCCTTCAGTATCAATTAATATAAATGCGTCGATATTAAGTTTTTCAGATAAATCATTATCTAAAAATAATAGTCGCATAAAAAGACCTCTAGTACAACGTCCGACTGAAACAGCAAACCTACATGCAAAAAGAGCAATTAATAGAGTGGACTTTCCTGATGATTGTAAGCCAAGTATACTAATTACAAAAATTTTAAGTTTAGGAAATCTTCTACAAATATGTCCACAAATTGCCGAGAACCAAGCTTCAGATATAGATCCAGCATCTCCATCAAGTAATTCTATAGTTTGACCACCAATTAATAACTCTGAATAAAGTTCTGGTAATTTTGTAATAATTTCATTATCATTATTTTGATAATGAACAGAAAAAATTTTGTAAACTTGTCCCAATTCACGGAAAAAGTGCTCTAAACCCAAACTCACATGATCAACTTCTTCCCAAATTTTTGCAATTTCTTCACGAATTTTTTTTTCATTTTCTTGACCTCTATTGCTCAAACTAGATTTACGCAGTTCATTTTTTTTTAATACAGCTCGATTACGAGCTTCAGCAGATTCTATCATAGATATTCTGGAAATTTCTCTTTCAAGGTGTGCTAGAACTCGCATTCTCACACCAAGAGGTAATTTTAAAATCCTTTTATACATGTATGTTAATTCCTGTAATTCACTATTATTTTGCCAAATTTGAAGACCATCTTCTGATTGTTGTTTTCTTTGAAGTTGAAAAACATTTAATTTAATGTGCCGGCATTTTTTGTCCTTAACAAAATCTATCAAACTATGAGATTCAACATTCTCAATACCTTCAGACATTTGAAGTGATTCTCCCAGACTTAATTCATCAATAATATTAAACATTGGAGCATCTAATGCCTCTTTGAACATCATGCGCACTCTTTTTAACGTATTATCTATCGTTAACTGATGAGTATCGATTACGTATTTCTTTTTATCTTTGACATTTCGATGATTTACGTAACCATATACCACTTTTCTAGAACCAACTAGTTTTTCGAAATCATTTATTTGATTTTGAGTATACCCAGGCATTAAAAAAACCAAAAAACTAGAAGGATATTGCCTTAAAAATTTAATTTGATCCGGATATTTTAAAGCATCACCGTGTAAATTTGCAAGCAATACAATTTCTTTATTCGCTCCTTTTTTATAGTAGTCTTCAAAGACATCATTCCATAGACTCACTATACATGTCTCTTGAGTCAACCAAGTAAATTCAACGCTTCCATCAATCATATGTGGAATTCCATATTCTGCTCTTGGTTCAGAACGTGAAGAGAACATAGAATTTGAAGTCATCAATTGATTAAGTATAATGCTTTTTCCTTGCCTATTTATTCCAATTCGAACTGCAACAATCAATTTGAATGGATCATTGAAAAGGTGGTTTTCAACGATCGTTCCAGGTGTAGTTTCCCATTTGATAACTGGACCAGTAAACAAAGGAAGCATCACTTTAAATTTATCTGTTTCATCTAATTTAGGAATTATTAAGGGAAATGCGATTGGAAACTGAGATAAAGTTCGAAACATATCTTGACCTACGGTACTTTCAGCGGAAGCAAACAAACTAGCAACACAATCAAATCGAGACATTCGATTTTTCTTTAGTAAAGAAGTGCCTTTCTCTTCATCCATCAAATCTTCATCAAAATCTTCATCATCTTCGATCAAAGTTTTAATATTTTCTGCCTTAAGAATATCAGCTCCCCACATCTTTACTTTCTGTCGAATGTATGGAAGAACTGAAGATATAGTTTCATAACTTTTAGAAGTCGGTAATCGTGGAGGTTCAATGATTTTGCAGAGTTTGACATGATGATAAGGTTCAATCACTTGTATAGTTTCGCCTAGAATCGAATGCCATTGTTTGTGTATAGATATGAATTTATTATCAACCATTATACTTACTATGGGAGTGTGAGAATTGGGCGAAATGACATTATATATGTTGTATACTTGATCCACAAAATTGTGTAACGGATGGCTAAATCAAAAAAACCGGTTTTCGTGAGAAACTTTTAAATTTTAATAAAAACAAAGTTCAGCCCTTCGCTAATTTTTTAAAAAAATTTGATATTTAAAAGTTTGAGACATGTCATGTCGCATGCAGATCAATTTTGTAATTAAATTTATTTGTGTAACAATAATCGTTAACTGTTCGCTTTTAAAGTTTATAAAAATGTTCGCGAGAAGTCAACGAACATTTTGATGTAATAACTGATCGATTTGGTTAGAAATGTAACAAATTAAAAAAAAACGCATATAAATGTCATTTGCTACGAAAAATATTCCTAATTTAAATCTGGATGTAATTTCTTTTGGAACACGTCGGTATTTTTTTTTTTGCAAATAAAATTTTATTTCCGGACGTAACACTTTTTTTCACCTGGCCTCACTGTATTTCATTTGCTTCAATATTTTTTTATTTAATTTTTTACTTTTTGGTTCTTTCGCTTCAGGTCGCAGCGATCAAATGGGGGGGGGGGTTCATTTTATTTAAAAATTATTCTTTATTACTCTTTCGGCTTGGATAACATTATTTATTCTCAGATTTTTATTTTTTTATTTATTTTTATTTTTTTTTATTTTATAGATTCTCTCACATTTGGACAGTGTAAAGTGCCAAAATAACCCTAGTACCAGTACGTTCACATTTTCCTACAAAATCTGTACAATTTTTTCAAACTTAAATTTATCATCTTAGATAGTATTAGTAGTACCAGTCATAACAAATTCTGGAGTCGACTCAGTCATCCGTTAGAGACTTTTCAGTCGGCTCAGCCGTCGACTGAGTCGAGACTCTCATTTGAAATTAGCGACCATAATTATCAAAATATTTATCAAAATTTTTTAAAATTTAATTAATGTTGCAAAAAGTAGATAATTATAAGTTTCATCGTAAATAATGTTGACAAGACTAAAAGATTGAAGTTTTATTTAATTAAAAATTTCACAATATTCTGAACTTATATCAAATTTGGAACAACGACTCAGTCATGGCTCAGTCATTGAAAATTCCGAAGTCGACTCGACTTGGTTTTTCCAGAGTCGACTCAGCCGTCGACTCTGACTCCGACGGCTGGTACCTACTAGATAGTATTTTTGTCTGTTCTTCAGGTTTACTTTGAATGCAAAGTAACGTTTTAAATGTCAGTTTATTATTATTATTATTTGCAATTTTTGTAAAAAATTAATTAATTTAATTTATCCATTTTTAATTTCCATAAGTTAATAATACAACGTACGAAATTTGTTTCAATTAAAAACTGTACAACCTTTTTTTTAATTTTTTTTCCTTGATATAAATTAAATGAATGGTTAAAAACTTTCTACTGTGAATGCGGCGGTAGTGGATAACGTCTCAAGAATCCCTACTTTTATTATAGCCAGACTTAATGCGCCATTAAAATATAGATTCGATTGCATAGTCCACAGTAATAGTCCTGTAGTTTATTTCTTTTTTCGAATCACGTGTTGTACAAAGTCTACCACAGTATAAGCTTGTGCGCAGTTTTACTCTTGCATATATTTCATTTAAGCATTATTAATAAAAATGTCTCCTGGAAAAATCTTGTCTAAATGCAGATCAAAAGGTAGGCAAACTGGCAGGGTATTTATAAAAAATTCAGACAGAAGCATTTGCTTCCGGCTTGAGCGAGAAAATTTATAATTGCCATTTCCGTATCATTCTAACATCACAGTCCGCAAAAATGTGTAGCATACCGTTAAGCAAGTTCCTTTCTCTGAACTGCGCCACAAACGAAGAGAAGTCCACCTTATATATTCGAAGCAAGAAAAAAAATATCTACCGTCTTTATCGATACACACATACTTATATGAAGCAGTAAACAGCGTCTCATGGTTATTATAGTTCTCTTTCTCTAGACACAAATGAAATAAGTGAACAGGAATGGGATGTTTGTAGATACTTGTATCACGTAATAATTTTCTAATCTATATTATATTTTAACCTTCTTTTCTCATCTCGAAATACTTTCTTTCTCAAAACTTTTCTCGATAAGCATTCAATATTTTTATTTAATTCTAATGGGAAATGCAATTTTAATATTCTTATTATGATTTAAGAATTAGCATTTATGTATAGATTTCATGAAATTTCCTTAATTTACATTATAATTATCAAATATGTTTATTAAAAAGCTCATAATCCATGATTAAGACCTTTTCAAGAAAATTCCAATTCGACTCCAATACAAACAAGAAAAAAGAAACAAAAAATAAAACAATTATTATAAATAAAATTATTATAAAAATTATGCCACTTATAATTAATATACGGTAACAATTAATTATTATGTAATAAAATACTGTCTGACACGTTTTTCAAGTGCCAATTCCTTATACATTTTATTTTCTTTATAAACATTAAATAAAGATCGGTCTTAGCCTGATATTGTTCTAATTATAACAGTTTCTCCCGAACACCACGTTGAGGTGGCAAACTTTCGTTCAAGTTAAAAAAATTATAGCCACATTTAATATTATACACATTCGACGTTGGGGTGTTCGGTCATCTAATTAAATCAAAACTATATATGGTATCATATAAAAATTTACTATTGAATTTTTTTTATATTAAGCTATTTTATAT